GTGTGTGGGTTGTGTGCCTGGGTGTGTGTCTGTGTGTGTTGGGCGCCTGTGTCTGTGTGTGTTGGGCGCCTGGGTGTGGGTGTGTGTGTGTGGGTTGGGCGCCTGGGTGTGGGTGTGTGTGTGTTGGGGGCCTGGGGGTGTGTGTTGGGTGCCGTGTGTGTGTGTGTGTGTGTGTTGGGCGCCTGTGTGTGTGTGTGTGTTGGGTGCTTGGGTGTGTGTGTGTGTTGGGCGCCTGTGTGTGTGTGTGTGTTGGGTGCTTGGGTGTGTGTGTGTGTTGGGCGCCTGTGTGTGTGTGTGTGTTGGGTGCTTGGGTGTGTGTGTGTGTTGGGCGCCTGTGTGTGTCTGTGTGTGTTGGGGGCTTGGGTGTGTGTGTCTGTGTGTGTGTTGGGCGCCTGGGTGTGGGTGTGTGTATGTTGGGGGCCTGGGGGTGTGTGTTGGGTGCCGTGTGTGTGTGTGTGTGTCGGGTGCTGGGTGTGTGTGTGTGTGTGTGTGTGTGCGTTGGGCGCCTGGGGGGGTGTGTGCGCATTGTGTACGTGTGTGACCCATGCTGCCTGGTTGCCTCTCTCCCATGCCCAGGGAGCTGACTGTGGTCCTGGGGAAGTACAGGCTGCGGCAGTCGGGGGCCATGGAGCAGAAGTTCAACGTGACCCGCGTGGTCCCCCACCCCTGCTACAACAAGAAGACCCTGGACAATGACATCATGTTGCTGCAGCTGTCAGGCCCTGTGGCCCGCAGCAAGCGTGTGTGGCCCGTGACCCTGCCCCGGAGCTGCCCGAACCCCGGGGAGTCCTGCATCGTGTCTGGCTGGGGCACCACACGCAGCCCTGGAGGTAGGGGCAGCGTGGGGGAAGGGGGAGCCCTGGGGACCAGTGAGGCCCACACCCCAGCTCCTTGGAGCCCAGGGTGTCAATACAGAGTCACTGGTGCCGATCTAGAATTACTCCAGTATTGCCTTGATTTGTGCCAATTTGGACTCACTCCAGTATACACTTTATTTGGAGTTAATCTGGAGCCACTCCAGTTTCATCCTGACCCTGTGTCTATTTGGATTCACTCCAGTATTATCCTTACACCTCAGCTGGTGTCAATCCAAAGTTATTCCAGTATCACCCTGACCTGTGTCAATTTGGACTCACTCCAGTATTATCCTTCCATCTTTTCTGATATTAATCTGGAGTCGGTCCATTTGCATTTGTATCCCACATCAATCTTGAGTCACTCTGATATCCCCATTGCACCTTACCCAAGGTCAGTTTGGAGTTACTTTGTTATGAGCTGTACACCAGATCCATCTAAATTCACTTGACTTTCCTGTTCACACCTTACCTGGTGTCAATCTAGAGTCACTGCAGTATCATCCTTATACTTCATCTGGTATCAATCTGGAGTAAACCCATTATGATCCATACCCACATGTCAATTGGGAGTTGCTCCAATATCACCATGATACTGCTATCAATCTGTAATTACTCCAGATTGATCTTGGGTAAGGGGTTATGGTGATATCAGAGTGACTCCAAATTGACATCAAATGATGCAAAAGGATAATGCTGAAGTCACTGCATTATCACCATTAAAGCTATCTATCTGGAGTCACTCCATTATAGGCCATACCCCATGTCAGTCCAGAGTCACTCCAATATCATCATGAAAGTTGCCCAGTATCAATCTGGAGTCACTCCAGCATCATCTTGACTGTGATGTTCATGAAGACTTGCTCCATTGGAGGGTTTCTGGGGTTGGCCCCACCCCTCCCCACCTTGGGCCCACCTCCACTGTCTTCCTCTGCCCCACAGTCAGGTTTCCCACGGTCCTGCACTGTGCCGAGATCCAGATCCTGCCCAACAGGAGCTGTCACGAGTCCTACCCCCAGCTCTTCACTAGCAACATGATCTGTGCCGGCATGCCGGGACGTCGCATTGACTCCTGCCAGGTACCGGGGACAGTGCCAGGGCCCTCCACAAGGGGGGCGATGCACGGGGAGTGGAGCAATAGATCTCTACCAGCCAATGCCCCTAGGTGGTGGGGCACTTCTCCCTGGCATGGTGGGAACTGGGCAGTGGGTCTCTGCCCTTAGAAGATGAAGCAGGGCAAGGGGGAGCCTGATGATGCTTGAAGGCATTTTGGGAACCCAGGGAAGGTTGTGGAGATCATCCCACCCACGAGCAGATCCTCCAGAAGGTCTGTTTTAATAGCAAGTAGAAGGATGAGATAAATGATTGGAGGGAACAGGGAGGGCATGAGCAGCGGGGGATATGGTGTGTATTGGCATAAAGGCATTGCGGTCTGTGGGCATGGGGGTCACCTTGGCTTCCCTACCTCCTGAAGAGCCCCTGTTGGGCTCTCCACCCTATTGGGTATGGTTTGATGGCTGGATGGGAGGAAGGGTGTGTATGGGGTGGATGGATGTGTGGGGTGGTATGAATGGGTGGGGAGGTGGGTGGAGGGATATGTGTGGGGATGGAGGGAGGGAGGGGTGGATGGCTGGATGGAATGAGGGGCATGTAGGGGGACGAATGGCTGGACAGAGGAAGGGGTGCATGTATGGGGATGGATGAAGGATGGGCATGGGGGTGCACGTGGGGATGGCTGGCTGGATAGAAGTGTCTAGCTGGGTGAGGAGTTTCAACAGGGCTGGATGGAGGGGTATCCATGGGGATGGATGGGTGGATAAATGGAGGTGGGGGGCTGAGGGGTGTCTAAGGCGATGGATGGAGGGATATGTATGAGGATGGATGGATGGGTATCTATGGGCATGGATGGATGGAAGGAGGGAGGGAGGGAGGTGCCTCCTTGCGACACTGACACCAGTCTCTTCACAGGGTGACTCAGGAGGCCCCCTCACATGTGACGACGTCCTTCAGGGCATCGTATCCTGGGGCCCGATGGTGTGCGGGCAGCCCCAACACCCCGGGGTCTACACCCGGGTCTGCAATTACCTACCCTGGATCCGGAGCATCATTGGGAATAACTAGCATTAAATCCACAACTCCCTTGCCTCCACTGCCCTGACGGTGCCCCTCACGCCTGACTGCAGCCCCCTCACCTTGGTTTCCTCCTGACCTGCAGACCTCTACCCTGCCCCCCACCAAAAACTTCCTGCCTCTGAGATCCAGTCCTTTCTCGCTGAATCCCTTCGATCTCTCATTGCCTTGGGAATAAAAGGTTAGATCACCCAGTTTGTCTCCTCTCCATCTCTCCCAGCAACCACCAGAGGGGTTTGGTAGCCACTGGGTCAGCCTACACACAGGGGAGTTAATCCAGATTAACTCCATGGCCACACAGAGGGGCATGATCCTGATTAACTTTGTGGCCAGATGGAGTGAATCTGGATTACCTCAAAGGACACCAGGGGTGTGTGCATGTTGTGGGGAGATAATCCAGATTAATTCCATGGCCATAGCAAATGGGGTCAATTTTCATGAGAACACCAATTGGAACCCATTTCACTTCAGCTTCATTTGGTTTGGAAGCTAATTAGGCTGGACCTGGGCAGGCCCTTTGTTAATCCGGGTTAGCAATGTTCACATGGAGAGATAATTTCTGTTAGTGGCTTGGAGGGGGACTCCATGTTGCAGTGGGTGAAGTGAGGGGGGTGGTTAATGCTTCCATGCCAGGACTGTTGGGGGTGGGGGCATATTGGAGACCTTGGGGTGAGCAAGAGGCAGGGCGAGGGGGGCTAGTTGATTGGGGAGGGACTGGTTTATCTGGGCACTTCCCAGCTGGGAAAGGGAATGCCAGGAACTGTGGGGTTGAGAGTTAGAGGCACCGACAGGGCTGGAGGGGTCGGGGGCTGTGAGTCAGGAATAAGGGGCACCAGCTGGGTTTGAAGGGTGTCCGGGGGGCTGTGGGTTGGGAGTGAGGGGTACCAGCACATCTTGGGGGCAGGGGCTGCACGTTGGGAGCAAGGGGCACTGGCAGGGCTAGGGGGGTAGGAAGCGGTGGGTCAGGAGTGAGGGACACTGGCAGAGCTGAGAGAAGGCCTTTATTACGCAGAGTTTGGGGCTGGGCATCGTCACACCCCCTCCATGGTGGTGCGGATCCAGTCAAGGTAACAGCAGACGTTGGTGTAGATCCCCGGCTGGCCGAGCTTCCCACATGGGAAGTCACCCCATGAGACAAGGCCGTAGAGCTTCCTGTTACACAGCAGGGGGCCTCCGGAGTCGCCCTGTGGAGACCAGGCCCCATCAGCCACACTGGGCCACAGGTGTGCCCGAGGGCCCAGCCATGGTACAGTGCATGGGACCATGGCTTGGCATGGACACATGACCATCAGCCCCCTTTCCCTTCCCTGACCTGGCAGGAGTCCTTGCCCTCCTGGGCACCCCCGGCGCACAGCATGTTCTCAGTGACCTTCTCTGGGTAGGTGGCCTGGCACTGGGCCAGGGGCACTGTGGTGATGTCCAGGCACTGGGGCACGTTGGGGTAGGTCTCTGCAAGGGGAGAGGGCAAATGAACCTGGATGTCCCCTGCCCCAGCCCTGCTGGTGCCCCAGACTCCCACCCCACAGCTCCTTGTCCCCTACCCAGATCTGCTAGTACCCCTCACTCTCAGCCTACCAACCCCTGTCCCAAACCGCCCTCCTGGTGCCTCTCATTCTCAGCCCAAAGACCCTCTCCCCTTTGGTGCCCCTCATCCTGACCCACAGCCCCCAGCTTCCCTTCCTCAGCCCCCTTAGTGCCCTGCTGTTACCCTCTGGACTACTGGTGGTCCCCCAGCCCATCACGGTGCAGGTGGTGCCCATGGGCAGGGGGCAGAGCGTGGGTAGGTCAATGGGCTGCACATAGGATGTGTAAACAGCAGGGGGCTTCAACCGCAGGAGCATGATGTCATTCTCATAGCTGCGAAGCCCGCTCGTCCCATCGACAAAGCCTGGGTGGATGATGGCTTCCTGGACCGTCGAGAACTGCTCGTACCCCGTTGATGTGGAGATGTTGTGCTCACCTAGACGCACCTGGATATGTCTAGGAAACAGATGTAGAAGTTCAGACCCTCCCCAAATCCCCCTGGTCCCAAGACCTCCCAGCCATCTGGGCATCCCAGGTCATAGATGGGTGAGGATTGTCATGATGGATGGATGGATGGATGAGGATTGTGGGGATGGATGGATGGGAAACATGTAGGGGAATGGATACATGGAAAAATGGATGGATGGACAGATGAAGAGAGTGTATGAGGATGGGCCGATGGATGGATGGGTGCATGGAGGGTGTATATGTGGGTTGATGTATGGCTGAGTGGGTGGATGGTGAAGTGGGTGTAGGGGTGGATGAAGGTGTATGAGGATGGATGGAGGGATGGGTGGATTGGTGGATGGAGGGACAGAGGGGAGACTGGGTAGGTGGCAGGGCCATGTTGGGATGGGTGGATATGTGAGGAGTGGTGGACAGCTCTATGGAGTGGGTGCGTTGGGGTGGATGTGGTAGGGTGATCTGGAGAGGGGTGTTTGGGGAAGGAAGGATGAGTGGATGGAGGTGTGTGAGTGGATGGATGGAACGTGTAAAGGGAATGGATGAATGGAAGGTTGGACAGACAGATGGAGGGGGTGTATGAAGGTGGGTGGATGGATAGATGCATGAGGCATGTTGGGATGGATGAGTGGGTGGATGGAGAGGTGTGTATCAGGATGGATGGATGGATGGTGTGGCAGAATACCATCTCTGTCTCTCCCCAAACTGTTTCCTGACAATTTGGTTACCACTGTCACTGCAGAGGGCAGACACCTCTGGCCCCATCTGGTTGAGGTAATCCTGAGTTATAATCTGAGCTGGATACATTCCTGAAGGAGGGGAAACCGGCTCCCTCTGCCTATGTGACTGGCCACACACACCTGGGTGGGGGGCTTAAACTCCCTATTGTTTTAAGCATGCCAAGATTACTGGAAGGGGGCTAAAGACCCTGACAGTCTACCAGGCAACCAGTGATGCATTTCAAATTGGTTGGCTGGCAGCCAACAGTTGCTGGCCTTCATTGGATCAGGTAAATGAGGTCATAAGGGCTATATAAGTGAAGGACTGCCCAGGAGGAGGGCCAGCAGCCATGATGAAAACTCTCAGAGAAGTTGGACCATTTGAAACTCTCTTTCTCTCTCTCTCTCTCTCTCTCTCTTTCTCTTGAAACTCATGATCAGTAAACTGCCTGCCTCCAGGGGGAATCTCCACCTGCCTCTGGATGATCCTTGTGAGTAAGCTACCTGAGATCTAACTAGATATATAGCTTGCAGTAACTCAGATGCATGATCAAAGGCTACCATGCCACTGTTTGCTCGAAGGTATTTCTCTGATATTTCTCTACCCTGTACCCTATTCCAAACCTACTCCTTGTAACCAATAAAATTCTCCTCTGTCCTTAGCATGGGAGACTTACTGGGAGAGGGGCCTAGATTATGCCTTGGGGTTCCCTTGGTTCAGCTGACTAAGGGAGACCACTATTTGTGCTTCAGACTGAGGGAAGCATCCCAAGTTCTTGCAGTGAGTCAAGTACCCTCAAGGACTACTAGGCCTGTGTTTCCTATGGGGCATAGGTGGCAGTGTTACCCCCGGGCTTGCAGGTGTGCTCCAGGAAGGGGGTTGACCAGATGTGAGGCTCCTCCAGGGAGGCACTCAGAGCCTGGAAGGTGGTTGGGTGCAGTGTGGTGGGTGGCTCAATGCAGGAGCACTCCATACTGGCCTGTCACAGGAGGTGTGAGAGGTGGATGATGGAGGTGTGTGAAGATGGTTGATTAGGTTGGATGGATGGGTGGATGGAGGAGGCCACATTGGATGGATGCACTGAAGAGGCATGTTGGGATGGGTGGATGGATTGATGGAGGAGTGTGTGGGGATGGGGGATGGGAAATATAGGGGCATGGTTAAATGAATGGATAGACGGATGGAGGGGGCATGAGGATGGGTGGATGGGTTGATGAGTGGGTGGAAGTGGCATCTTGGGATGGATAGATGGAGGTGGGAGGATGAGTAGGTGGATGGATGGATTGATATGGATGGATGGAGGTGGGAGGATGCGTGGGTGGGTGGGTGACAGATGGAGGTGAGAGGCTGGATGGATGGAGGTGTGAAGAAGGATGGTGGGTGGATGGATGGAGGGTGACCATGGGGTGAGGTACCTGAGTTCTCACCCCTGCTTTCACCCAGCTCTGAGATGGGAACTGTGTATGGCCCCTGGGTGCCCTCCCCACCTCCTGCCCAGCAAGTCCTCACCTCATGGAGCAGTGGGCAGCTGTGAGCACCCAGTTTTGGTTCAGGAGGGCGCCAGAGCAGTAGTGCTTGTCAAAGTAGTAGAGCAGCACCAGCCAGGGGTGGGCGCCCTTCTGGCACTCTGAGCCTCCCAGGACCCGATCCTCCCGCTGAAGCCCTGTGCAGGGCGGGGAGGTCAGTGGAGGAGGGGTGGGAAGGGTCAGGGCACCCCCCCGCCCCACCCATGGAGGTATTACGTGGGAACAGGGGGCACACACACGCTCCTGAGTTGTCCAAGACATATGCACATGCACACACACAGACCCACACCTCTCATGTGTTCAAGACACACACACACACACACACACACACACACACACACACACGCATGTCTGGGTGCCACCCCACCCCAGTTGTCAAAATTACACACACAAAGCCCAACTGTCCGGGCAACTCTCTCTCTCT